TGTGTGTGTGTGTGTGTGTGCGGTGTGTGCGTGCGCGCGCGCGCTTGCTTGCAAATAAGGTACGGATGCAACAATAGTAACAACAATGTAAATTAATAAATCTAAAATTTGAACATAACATACTTCTCACGTATAATTTATAGATTGATCTTAAACTTGTTTTTTTCTGAATATTCTAACAACAGTATTCACAACTAAATCTCGCTAATAAATTTTGTTTTTTATTAAGTATCTTTTTTTTTTCAAATCAGCAGCGTGGCATCAAAAATAAATCTCGCGTTAAGAAAAACAATTTGTTATCTGCATTGGAAATTATTTAAAATTCACCTCAATAGAATAAATTTTACATCTTTCTCTTTATAAGAGACGCTCAACATGCGCGCAAAAATGGCTTGCATACTAAGCGAATAAAAAAACACATAACGTCGTGTCTCGCATACATAAACGAATAAAGCGTAACATGTTTTAGCTCACTGCTTTTTTATCGCAATGTCTTGCATGACATACTAATTAATATAATACGCACATTTTGATATTAATATCTATGCTACAACTTAATAGAATGACGTCGTAAGAAAAATTACTATCACATATAAGCATAATACATTCTTTTAGCTTTTTCTCTGTTAAAAAGAAATTGAAATAAAACCTACGTGCGGCTTTAAAAGGCAAAGAAATCGAGGTACTAGTAAGATACATAGAACGAACGGCTAGAAGAAGGGCGCAGGATAGGGGACGTAGGAAAGATAGGGGAGAATACGAGAGAGAGAGAAAAAGAGAGGGTTGAAGTAAAGACAGACGGACAGACTGACGGACGGTGGATCCCCGACAAATGGATTAAGCGCAAATTGCTAAACTCTGTTTAATTTGGCCAAATGAATTTTGTTCCGCCAGCCCTCTTCTGTTCTTTCTCCCTCCCTTTCCGTGCATTCTCCCATCCTCTTTTCATTTCTCTAACTCTTTCTTACTTCTACGTTTGCTCTCGTGCTAGATAGCTCAAACTTTCGATCAAAATCTTGTTTCTCATCAGAATGTAAATCGGATTTCAAAATAGACATACATTTTTACCTTTGTGAAATGTTTTGGAAGATTAAAAGAATTAATAAGAGAAAGAATCAAATTTTTCATGAGAATTCACTTCTTATATTTCTCATACATGAAATAAAAATTATTCTTTTTTCTTTTTGACATAAATTCTTTTGTGGAAATATTTAATGTGGAAGAGCGTGAGTTTAATTGTAAAAAAATTTCTTATTTACTGTGTTTTTTATTATGTCGTGTAGAAAGTATACAACAAATATCCATGGCGCGATTATATTTCTTTCATTTTAACGTTGATTTGTCGACGTTTAAATTTGCAGTGAAATATTTATTTTATGTCTAATTGTTGATAGTATGACTGGGGAGAAATCAAAGCAAGTTTGCGAATAACGCAATTTAGTGTGTGAACTTGCATATACATGTACAAATGTGGTAAGTCAGTTTGCATCAAAGGCATGATTATGTATCGTTGCATATTGGTCCTATATATACCGTATGAGGGTAAATTCATATAATCCAACATACATACATACGACAGACAAACTGTTTCACAATGTTTGGAATGTCCGTTAGATTAATTCTCAGATATGAGCAAAACGAGTTTTCGAATTTGCATCATCAATATTAATTGAGATCAAACAAATTATTGCGAATAAATAATGCGTCTCTTTCTCACATACCAAACAATTTACGCCATCTGGATTAGATATAAGATGTTAGCAAAACCCGATCGGTCGTACGTTGGTAGAGCTCAATAAAGTGGCGAGCTCATTTGGTTTCTCTATAGTATTCGCATGGCGAATATTTGGCGTGACTTATTTATCATATAATGTATACTGTGCGATTCACTGTTACGAGAGTTTTCCTATTGTAAAACCATCAAAGCCGAATTGCATAATAGAAAACATTATCAATTGCACGTTATTGATCAAGGATAATACCAGATTTTCATTACATTTTATAAATTGTGTTACTTTTTCTACGATTTGTTTGATCTATTTTATTGTTTTTTTAATATCGAGTTTTAAATATTTTATCAACATTTTATATTATTGAAACATCTGATTTATAAATTAAATTTTTTTATTTATACATAATGCATCTTTTTATTTACGAACATACGCTTCTCAATATAAAATAACAAAGTATTATTTTTTCTTTCTCTCTCTCTCTCTCTCTCTCTCTTTCTCCTCTCTTTCTCCCTCTCTCCCTCTCCCATAATTCTCTTAAATGACGTCATCAAGTTACGAGCCATTTAACAAACAACTTTATCTCGGTATGAGCAGTCCTATGCGAGAATTCCAAGCGAGCAGATCGCTTTGACTTGATAAAACAATCACGTTCAACATATTGCATTGGATTATAACCTGAGGGTGCCTCACACAACTGCAAACAGTGATATTGACACAAACTTTCACGACACTGGTGTTTAACTTTATCTCGAACGAAAGGAGTAATCGGGTATTCCGATTAAACGTCTATCATGGATTACTGGACGATAGTCTTATCAATATTAGCCGGCATACTTGCCATTTATTACTACGCGTCTCGCAAAGATTCAAACGTGTTTCGACAACATGGAATTCCACATGCAAAAAAACATTCTTTCGTATTAGGAAAAATTTTGAGAATTTTTGTCCGTCCAAAAAGTTTGGCCGAGTTCACTGAAGATATGTACAATGTGCATGCAGATGCTAAGTACATTGGTACTTCTAGTTTCACAAAAACGTTCATAATGATCCGTGATCTTGAACTGATCAAGTCTGTCGCTATTAAACATTTCGACTCGTTTCAGGATCATTTTTTTTTTGGCAACGAAACTCAAGATCCACTTTTCGGAACAAATCTATTTGCCCTTCGCGGCGACAAGTGGCGTGACATTAGAGTGCTTCTGAGTCCTGCTTTTACAGCTAGTAAAATGAAGACAATGTTTCAATTAATATCCGAGTGCGCTGCGAATTTTTCGGAGTATTTAACGAATGTACCAATAGACAAACGCGTTATGGAAATGAAAGACATATTCACGAGGTACGCTAACGATGTGATCGCCACATGTGCCTTTGGTTTAATGTGGATTCGATGAGAAATCCGGAGAATGATTTTTATATTTTCGGCAAAAAAGCAACAAATTTTGGCATAATTTCTATTATAAAAATTTTCCTGTATCAAAATATGCCGTCGCTCATACGTCTATTAAATCTTAAATTAATAGATGATCGCACTAATGCATTCTTTGTAAATCTGGTAGCTGACACTATAAAAATCAGAGAAGAGAAAGATATTACTCGCCCAGATATGATTCAATTGTTAATGGACAGCAGAAGCAAAAGAGAACCCGGGAGAGAACTGACCATCTTGAACATAACATCACAGGCATTTATTTTTTTTATTGCTGGTTTCGAGACTAGCTCGACACTGATGAGTTTTGTGGCACACGAAATTGCTGTTAATCCAGATATTCAAGAGAAGCTGCGAAATGAGATCGACAAGGCTTGGGAAGATACGAATGGCCAACCATCTTTCGAGGCGATTAACGGAATGAAGTATCTGAATGCTGTTATCAATGAAACTCTCAGAAAATATCCGGTACAACCAATGACGGACAGAGTATGTGTAAAAAATTTTGAGCTGCCTCCTGCACTACCAGATGCAAAGCCGTATCTTATGAAGGAAGGAATGATACTCTGGATCCCATTTTATGCGCTTCAACGCGATTCAAAATACTTTCCAGAACCGGATAAATTCAAGCCTGAGAGATTTCTCAAAGAAGAAGATCAGTGTAATTTTAACGCTTATTATCCATTTGGATTAGGTCCAAGAATGTGCATCGGTAATAGATTTGCGTTACTAGAAACGAGAACTTTGTTATTTCATCTTTTGGCTCGTTGTGAGTTAAAGCCGTGTGAGAAAACTTCGACATCTGGAAAATTAGAGACAGGCGGATTTTCAATGAAAATCGAAGGTGGTTTCTGGTTGAAAATTGTACCCAGAAAGAACTTGCATCCTACGATTATAAAAGCCAACCGATCGTACTAGTTCCAGATTTCAAAGTAATTTAAGTACAAGCCCGCAATTAAACAGCAAAAGTATTCAAATTATAAAAGTAATACGAATATATAGAAAAATTACGAATATACCTTACGTTATATTGCAATATATTACACTATGAAAACATATATATTACATAAATATATAAATAATAATAATACATAAATTAGTATGTAAAAATTTTAGAGAAATAAGTTTTTTACTTAATTTTTCGAAAACTTTTTTGCTATAATTTTTGAATCGCGAATTTCCGGACACCTTATACATATATATTATGTTACGTATCAACAGTAAGTAAAAATAGGTAGCATAATAAATATGTTTAAAAGTGTTAAATAATAATTTGTCGAATCCAATGTTCATCTTAATTATAAAAATCAAGTCTTTATGTTCAAGTTAATAACAACCAAGATAGAGGTAATGCGATGTAATATACTAACTTAATTTCACTTGCGTAAGCGATGACGAATCGGATGCTTTAATAGAAAGATTGTGTCAGAGCATCAGCAGTCGACCGTCAACTTTTAACGTGTAACATTGTGCTCTGATATCGTCTTTGTCATCAACAGCAGAAAATATTAGATAGATAAAATATTCAAGAACCAAATTGGTTATAAAAAAGTGCAAAAATTTGTTTAATAGTAATACACATATATACATTAACATGATATATATAATCGCTTTGTCGGTGATAGCAGGTGCTCTGGGAATTTATTATTTCCTCTTCAAGGATCTACATTATTTTAAAAAATATGGCATACCATACAAGCCACCTATTCCTTTATTGGGAAATATGGGACCACCGATCTTGCGTCTTAAGTCGATGGCTGAACTTGTCAAGGACATATATGATGTACATCCTGAAGCTAAGTACGTTGGTATGTTTGACATGACCGTTCCAATTGTAATGATTCGCGACACCGAACTTATTAAATCTATCACGTTAAAACACTTCGAGATATTCCCGGAACATCGCACTTTCATAGATGAAAATCAAGATCCATTAGTCGGTAAAAATCTTTTTTCCCTTCGCGGAGACAAATGGCGGCAAGTACGATCATCAATGAGCCCAGCCTTTACATCCAGCAAAATGAAAACCATGTTTAAACTAATGTCGGAATGTGGAGTCGATTTCAGTAATCACTTGGCGCAATTACCTCCGGAGCAGAGAATAATGCAGATGAAAGACGTGTTTACGAGATATACTAACGACGTGATTGCTACTTGCGCTTTTGGCATAAGTATTGATTCCATGAAAAACCAGGAGAATGAATTCTATGTATACGGCAAAGAAGCAACCAATTTTACCAGTATTTCTTTTTTAAAGTTATCCATATTTAGAAGTATGCCTTGGTTGGCACAAATAATCGACTTGAAAATCATTCGTAAGAAAATAGCAGATTTCTTTCGAAACATCATAAAAACCACTATAAAAACTAGGGATGAGAATGGTATCGTCCGTCCTGATATGCTGCAATTGTTAATGGAAACTAGGAATAAAGAGGGCAAGGAATTAAATATAGATGATATAGTAGCACAGGCATTCATCTTTTTCTTTGCTGGTTTTGATAGTACTTCAACATTAATGTGTTTTGCCGCTCATGAAATCGCCGTAAATAAAGACATACAAGAAAAACTTCAAAAGGAGATCGACAAGGTTTTGGAAGAAACAAATGGACAAGCACCTTACGAAGCGATTAACGGTATAGAATATTTAGATGCTGTGATTAATGAAGCTCTCCGAATGTATCCGATTGCTGTAATGACAGACAGATTATGCGTAAAAGATTTTGAACTACCGCCAGCATTACCAGGATTGAAACCACTTTCTTTAAAGAAAGGACAAGGCATATGGATACCGGTTTATGCACTTCAGCGTGATCCCAATTATTTCAAGGAGCCGGAGAAATTTGATCCCGAACGGTTTTGTGGTGAACAGAAGAAAGATACTCTCAACTCTGGAGCCTATTTTCCTTTCGGTCTTGGTCCCAGAATGTGTATTGGCAACAGATTCGCATTGTTGGAGACAAAGGTCTTACTCTTTCATTTACTGGCCCGTTGCGAGTTGAAAATTTGCGAGAAGACGCCAATACCACTCAAGATCGCTAAAGATACCTTCAATATGAAAGCTGAAGGTGGTTTCTGGTTGAAGGTGTTACCAAGAAAAGATGCGCATCACACTGTGGTAACGAGTCCTGTCGATAGAACATGCTATATGTAAGAAAATTTTAATAATTTTTTATATGGCTTCTTAAAATGAAAGAAGTATTTCAAAGAAAAATATAATTTCCGTTATTTCTTTAATTAATAAAAGATAGTATAAAATAATCTCAAGATTATATTAATTTCACGGAAAATAAATTTTGTTTCGTAAATTTAAGTTTTTAAAAATAAATAAATTTGTAGAATCTTATTATTTAAAAATATATAATATTTTAACATAGGTGTAATAAAATAAAGAACCATTTACAAAAATGTAAGAGACCATGCAAAATGTTATTATATTACAATATAATATTATTTAAATTTCAGATAAAATGGGAACAGAAATGAAAGACATTTCTCTCTTTAATTGTCCGACAAGGAGACTACTTCTGTTGCTGCAAGAAATAATGATATTTTTGCATTACAAATATTTCCGGAATACAAAACAGTCATATTATCTTTTATATGTTTGTTCGAAAACGGCAAAAGAAGAGAGCATGAAAAAGATTCACGAATTGAATATTGTTTCTTATCTTGCGTTGTCATTATCGATCCATTTGTAATGTCTTTTTCGTGGTGTAGATGTATAGTTATTATTATTATTGTAATCACTTGTACTGCTTGATTGTGTTTCTATAATTTTTATAAGAAATATTTTCAAAATTTTCCATAGAAAGACATATTATGCAGACAAGAGCGATACAACAAAATTATTTAGGCAAGCAATTGCATAACTAAGTTGCTGTTAATTTACATATATCATGTTATAACTTATCAATTTATCAACAGTAAATAAAAAGCATAGGTAATACAACAAGTAAGTTTAAAAATGTTGATAACTTGTCGAATCCAATGTTCATCTTAATTATAAAAATCAAGTATACATTGTTATCATGTAGATAAGAACGAAAATACGCAATGTTACGCAATATATTTACTTAACTTGCGTAAGCGACGATGAATCGAATGCTATATTAGAAAGCTGCTTGCGTCAGTGCAACCAGTTGACCGTCGGCTTTCGACGTGTAACATTGTGTCTTAATATCGTCTTCCTTATTACAGCACGATAGATAAAATATTCAAAACAAATTGGTTATAAAAAAAGTGCAAAAATTTATTTCAAATTTCATAAAGCTGCATGATATATATTAGTTTAGTGGTGATGTACATATATATATCAACATGATATATATAATCGCTTTGTCAGTGATAGCAGGTGCTCTAGGCATTTATTATTTCCTCTTCAAGGATCTGAATTATTTTAAAAAACATGGCATACCATACAAGCCACCTATTCCTTTATTGGGAAATATGGCACCATCCCTCTTGCGTCTTCAGTCGGTAGCCGAACTTGTCAAGGACTTATATGATTTACATCCTAAAGCCAAGTATGTTGGTATGTTTGATTTAAACGTTCCAATTGTAATGATTCGAGATCCCGAACTCATTAAATCTATCACGTTAAAACACTTCGAGACATTCCCGGATCATCGCGCTTTTGTAACTGAAACTCAAGATCCATTGTTTGGCAAAAATCTTTTCTCCCTTCGTGGAGACAGATGGCGGCAAGTACGACCTGTAATGAGCCCAGCCTTTACGTCCAGCAAAATGAAAACCATGTTTAAATTAATGTCGGAATGTGGGATCGAATTCACTAATCACTTGGCGCAATTACCTCCGGAGCAGAGAATAATGCAGATGAAAGACGTCTTCACGAGATATACTAACGACGTGATTGCTACTTGCGCTTTTGGCGTAAGTGTTGATTCTATGAGAAATCCAGAGAATGAATTCTACGTATACGGCAAAGAAGCGACCACTTTTAACAGTATTGCTTTAATAAAGATGTACATATTTAGAAGCTTGCCTTGGTTGGCAAAATTAATCAACTTGAAATTCATTCGTACGAAAGTAGCAGATTTCTTTCGAAACATCATAAAAACCACTATAAAAACCAGGGACGAGAATGGTATCGTTCGTCCTGATATGTTGCAATTGTTGATGGAAACTAGGGGTAAAGAAGGCAAGGCAGAATTGAGTATCGATGATATAGTAGCACAGGCATTCGTTTTTTTCTTTGGTGGCTTTGAGAGTACTTCATCATTAATGTGCTTTGCCGCTCATGAAATCGCAGTAAATCAAGACATACAAGAAAAACTTCAAAAGGAGATTGATAAGGTTTTGAAAGAAACAAATGGACAAGCACCTTACGAAGCGATTAATGGTATAGAATATTTAGATGCTGTGATTAATGAAGCTCTCCGAATGTATCCGATTGCTGTAGCAATGGACAGAGTATGCGTAAAAGATTTTGAGTTGCCGCCAGCATTACCAGGATTAAAACCATTTTCTTTAAAGAAAGGACAAGGCGTATGGATACCGGTTTATGCACTTCAGCGTGATCCCACTTACTTTGAGGAGCCGGACAAATTTGATCCCGAGCGGTTTTGTGGTGAACGGAAAAAGAATAGTCTCAACTCCGGAGCCTACCTTCCTTTCGGCCTGGGCCCTAGAATGTGTATTGGTAACAGATTCGCATTGTTGGAGACAAAG